CAAGCCAGGATGCCGCTGGCCCTCTTGGCCACCTGGGCACCCTGCTGCCTCCTATCCAGCCCCCTCTCGACCAACCCCCCCAGGGTTTTTTCCACCGGGCAGCTTTCCAGCCCCTCTGCCCCACGCCTGGAGCGCTGCCTGGGGTTGTGGTGACCCCAGGGCAGGACCCGGCCCTTGGCCTTGTTGACCCTCACCCAACTGGGCTGGGCCCATGGATCCGGCCTGGCCAGGTCCCTCTGCAGAGCCCCCCTGCCCCCCCCAGCGGATCCACACTCCTGCCCAGTTTGGTGTCACCTGCAAGCGGGGTTTGAGAAACAAAAAACCAAACCTACCCCAAAACCAAGTGCTCCTGCCCCCCACTGAATGCGGAAGGCGAATGGCTAACCTTCTTTTAATCGATTAAATGAAGTAGACTGAGCTCCTGGCACACACAGAGTTAAATTCCCTCCTGGGCAGCATTGACAGCTTGGTAAATATTTGCAGATGGTTTTGGCTATGGGTGCAAACTCAGGTCACGTGGTCTTGGCTCCACCCTCGCCAACACACGCAAAAAAACCAATGCTGTTGCAATCGGTGCGATTTTTTTTTTTTAAAGGCCACATTGGAAATCCTCAGCCAGGCTCCAGAGTCCTGTCCCATTCCCTGGCAGATGGGTATGGCTTTGCGTGGCCTCTGAACCACATCCAAGGTACTCGCCAAGGTTTAGGCCCTTATTCACGTTGTTTGAAAGGCATCAGAAAGGGCGAACAGTGGCACGGAGTGGGCCAAGCCTGGGCTTCATCTCAGTGAATTTTCCTGAGGTAGAAACCAGTTATTGCAGGTATTTTAAACTTTACGTCCGTAATTAACCCTTCCTGAGGGCAAGTCATTACTGCTGTCAGGGCACGCGTCACCGGGTGGGATGAATCACCCATTGGAGGCACCGTGAACTCTTCTTAGTGGTGACTAGACCATGGAAGTCCAGATATCATGGAGACATAGATGCTCCAGTTTCATGCCAGCTTTCTAGGTGGCCAAGTCATGGTAGATGATGCCCCTTTGGCTCTTAGGCAGGTGGCTACTTGCAGGTGTCTTTCTGTATCTCAAGACTTCACATGGGGCAGGTTGATAGGACCTTCTCGGAAACAGGAGAGATCCTTAGAGCATCTCAAAGGTTGGCAGATGCCTATGCCGGCATTCACAATGACAACAAATAATGGAAACAGAGAGGGGTTTGTAGTCACCACCCTAGGACATACTCCTGACTCACCTGGGCAAGCTGGCATGCTTTGAGCAATGGGTTGGATGAGAGACCTCCAAAGGTACCTTCCAGCCTAAACCACATCATGATTCTACAGGCATAAACCTGGAGTGTTGTACGTAGCAGCAGTTAGGAGGGCTGGTTCCCCCCAGAACCATCTGGTTCTTTAGTTCTTGCAGACATTTGGGTGGGATATGGTGGGACCGTGGCCTTCCAAAGCTGCAAGAAAACATTTGAGGTGTGGATCCATGTCTGCTTGTTGCAGCCGTAAGGGTCCTGGTTGGGTTTGCTGAAGGGGAATTGCTCTCGTGCTCCCCGTGATGAGGCAGGTGTAGAGCGCGTTGCACAGGGATTTCACTTCCTCTCTCTTTTTCCTTTCTAGGATGTAATGAACATCATAAGCAGGTATGGAGTGCTGCTTTCCCCCTTCTTTCATGCTTTTTGCCCCCACCAACACTGTTTAAAGACGACTGGTCGCAGTCCAGATGCCCAGGGAGGCACCAGGGTAGACGGAACTTGCCTCCTACTTGGCGCAAGCCCTGGGTCTCTTCCAGCTTCTCAGGAAAACCTAGCGTTATCTTTTCCTACCAGACGGTTTCTTCAAAGGTCAAGTGAGACCAGAAACCTCAACTCATCTTATTTGCCTGATATTCAAGACACCAACAACGAGCTGAAGGGGTTTTCAAGGTTGACGTGTAAATCCTGGCGTCCTCAGCCCAGGCGGGTTGATAAATCCATGTGTGATCCTAGCAATGTGATGTTGAGCACTTGGGCAGACCGCCGGTGGGATGGGGTGGGAGTGTTGCACACTGCCGACCACAAATGAAAAAGAAAGAGGAGGTTGCCCAGAGAGGGGGTGGAGACCCCATCTCTAGGAACATCCAGGGCCAGGTTGGACGGGGCTGTGGGCAACCTGATCTGGTTAAAGGTGTCTCTGCTCCTGCAGGGAGGTTGGGCTGGGTGACCTCTAGGGGTCCCTTCCAACCCAAAACATTCTATGGCCTCTTGAGATCCCTTCCAAGCCAAACCATTCCATAATTCTATGACCTCTAGGGGACCCTTCCAACCTAAACCATTCTATGATTCTGTGAACAGCACTGATTTTTCTTATTGTTTTGACTTTTTTTTTCTCTGCAGAAGTGACGATGTCAAGTGCCAGAAGCCGGTGCCCGTATGCACGGATATGAAAATGCACATCTGCAACTTCTCCCTCAAGACTGTTGTTCTTGAGAAAGTCTTAAAGAAATTCAGAGGTAAATGTGGAAACAAAACCAAGGGGTGCGGGTGGTTTAAAATAGGCCTGGCCTTTAGCAGGCATCAGGGAAAAGGGTCGAGGAGTGCTGGGGATGCTGCGGATGTCTTGAGGACCCTTAGCACATGCCTGGCCAGCAGGACCAAAATAGGAGAATAAATGCTGTTGGAAAGGACTTCTGGAGATGTTCATGGACAGGCGGAGACTCACCTGCCGGGCTGCCAGTGAAGAAGAAGCAGGATTAATTTTTTTTTTTAAAAGAGGGAAACCCCTGAGCCTGGCCCATGGATTTTAGCGCACCAAGACCTGCAATTTTCACGTCTCGGATAGCTTGAGGCTGGGTTGGCTGTGCTTTGCATTTAAAACCCAACCCCTTGCAGCCATGCAGCAAAGCCACAAGGTGGTGCTGAGGAATTTGGAAAGGAGGCAAGCGCCAGAAAAGAAAAATCCCGAAATGCCAACTATGCCCTGGAGCAATCGCAGGCTTCAAATATCGTAATGAAAAGTTTGAAACACGTGGAGCAACGAGGAGACCAAAATATGGCAGGGCACCATAAATAGGGCTTAAACAAATCCCGCAATCTCTTGATGCTGAGAAGCTTTTCTTTTGCTAAAAATGATAAAATAATTAGCAGGATTTTCCCCTGTTTCTTGTCCCCATTGCACGGTGGGAGCTGGCATTGCTCCATTCTCCATACAGGACAACATCCATACATTGCTCCATACAGGTTAACTGGGTGAGGTTCAACAAGGCCAAGGGCCGGGTCCTGCCCTGGAGTCACCACAACCCCACCCAATGCTCCAGGCGTGGGGCAGAGGGGCTGGAAAGCTGCCCGGCGGAAAAGGCCCTGGGGGGGTTGGT